GCAGCACAATCTGTGAGCCGGCGGATTAGTCACTGCAGGAACTGGACGGTGACAGAAGCAATAAATACGCTGGCAGTGGCAAGTGCCCTCCCTCCCTCCTGGGCTTGGCAAGGCCCCCAGCCAGTCCCTAAGGAGAGCTCCCCGAGCCGGGATCGCATCCCGGTGCCCCCAGCCTCCCCACACTGCTTGCAGCATGTGGCAGGTCCGTGCAGCGAATGGGCCGCTTCTTTGCCACAGTGATTTATCACCAGCTGTTTCAATCTGTCCAGATGTTGGGAGCACTGAAAGCCATCCTGAGCAACTGGGATTTGTTTATTCAAAGAGCTGTAAAACCTTTCATAATGGGTCAGGTCTAGTAAAGTCAGGCACAAGTCAGGAACTACAAGACACAGCCTTTAGCTACCTTGTTACATCTATGTACATCTTTGTGTATGTACTATGTATGTGTAGCTTGGAGAGCCTGAAATGCAAACACCCCTTTCCTAGCTCCAGGTGAGGCACTGTGTTATTTGGATTGGGTAGTGGACAGCAAGGCACAGAAAGGATTTTTAAGTCAAATGGGGATGCCCCAGGCTAACTCTGATGTGGGATTTAAGGGCCAGCTACACTGAATGTATCAATACGTAATTTTAGGAGCCAGCTCCTCAAAAGAGATATCAAAATTCAGTGGGGTGACTACCAGACCTGTATGAGAACAGAAGGAAAGAACACCTACATCTCCAAATGGGCTTCAGAGTATGTGGCACATTAACCCACAAATCACACGAACCCCTGACAACTCTAAGCACAAGGGGGTCTGAAGCCCTGCAGGCCCCCGGAAACCTTCTGATTGCCCTGTTACTGCATCAGCAGGTACCTGTCAACATTTAAACCCTACTAGCTGCCCACACGACTCCAGTCAGGTCTCAGCACACGAGACTCCCTTGCATTTGTAGCAGTGTGTCTCCAGCCCTGTCTCTGGCCCTGTCTGCCCTGGGTCCTGACCGCGCTCCCAGGGCCTGGGCCTGCTTGGTCGCTTTGCCCCATCTCTAGCTGCATCCTAGGGACAAACCTCCTGCGTCCCACAGCATCTGCCTGAGCTGGGAGCTGCTTCCCTGCGCTGATGGCAACCTCGGATCAAGTTCTGCAGGGCAGGGTTAAGTGGCTGCATGGTTAAATGAGTCAATCCATCGCATCAGGTCACTTGTCTTTTATTCTCAGCTCCAAAAATAGCAGCCCAGTAGAGACTGTGCACAGTTCAGTGGCTGCAGCTGAGCACCAGCACAGCGGTTGGTTCAGGACCTTGACAAGAGCGGCGCTCCACACGTTACAAAACCAGTCCCTGAAAGCCAGGGGTGCAGCTCTTCCTTCAGCGCCATAGGCCTGGCCGTGGGAAAATAAAGACACGCAGTTGGTATCTGGTTATCCACTGAGAGGTGCCGCTCCTGTACATGGCCGGCGATTGCTCCCTGTGCTCCTGACAGGTCCTGCGGCTAGAGGTGTCTTGTCCCCATGCCCCAGTACAGCCACTCTGAGGGACCAAACAGGACCTGGCCACGCTCTGCCCTATGCTTGGACGGAGCACGGAGGAGAACCTGACGAGGTAAGTAAAGCAGGAATCAGTGCACTTTGCTTTAACCCCAAGTGAAGGGAAAGCCCGTTTTCCAGCACGCATTCCAGGTGAGGTGCCCCACCGCAGCGCGGCCTTCTCGCCCAGCGCCGCTGCCCCCGGTTAGCAGGACACGCTGCCTAATTCTCACCGAAGGGAACGAGCAGCAAAAACAACGAACGCTGTCCAGCAGCTCTAAAGAAACGCCTCGAAAGGGTTTCTAATTCATTAGCGAGCACGGGAGGATGCTCACTCACCCTGGGGGAAAGGAATAAAAGGGAATTTCAAGAACTTTTTATTTTTGTGGATTTCCAATGACAGGTGTTAGACTGGATTTGGATCTGTGCTTGCTCAAGGCTTCTGGGCACTTTTAATTAGGAAAAGCCGTTTCTCTAATTAAAAAAGTAAAATAAAAAAAAGGAGAAGGTCTGTTTATGCACTGCCACAGAGGTTCCCAAGCTCTGCAATTTAGAGGCACCCACAAATGTCCGTGTCTTCATTCTCAGCAATGCAAAGCTCTCCCAACATGCCTGCCTACCCAGCAAAACTGGATTGAAAATATAACACTGCCAGAAGACATGGCATTCTGTTTAGAAATGAGTTTCATTTGAAGCAAACAGAAAACACCAAGTCTTGCTTATCTGCTCTTGTTACAATCCCAAAGGATTCCGAGAGGTGAAATAACCGGACCTTTTATTCACTTTCTTTCGCGGGAGGGAAGGAGCAGTCCGCATCACAGTGCGCCGTCATCTCCTGTCAGAACAACATGCTCCTTGCTGCACACTAGGAAATCGCCTCGGCGCGCAAAGCAGCACGGAAAGCAGTTTTTCTACCAGCTGAACAGTCTTATCAGAACTTCCAACAAGGAAATTGTATTAACTAGTGTTTAACTAATGGGTAAACTCCTCTATCACTTAATATGCTCATCCTTGTTTGAAGACTACTAGGGGACAGAGCAAGTCATGATTTTTTAGTGTTTGTAATGTCTTCTTGCACTTTCAGAGTCTCAAAAAGAGCAAAGGGTATGTAGGAGCATATATGAAATCCAATGTACTGTTCATCTGCTTGTCTCCTGAGATGTTAGAGGTAATGCAGAGGTCTTCACAGGGGAAGAAACCAGCGTGGGAGTGACGGTGCTAAGACGCAAGCCCCGGCGAGCGCCGGGTGCCGCTTCTCTGCACGCGACCTCGCGCTCCTGGGACAGTTGCTTCTTTCCTGACACCTGGAAAATTCATGCTCTACATCTCTGGGGAACGACAGCGAAGCAGGATTTTAGAATCCATACAAGGTACTGCTTAGGTTTTGTGTAAATGCCCAGTTTAATACTTCAGTTAGTCCCAGCAGACATACAGGTTGTGTGTGTTTGCTAAAACCGCCTGCAAAGCACCCCTGCTGCAAGGGGCTCAGGAGGAAGGCTGCCTCGTTCCTCTTTGGACACTGAAGGCCTGATCCGTAGGGAAATAACGCACGTGCACAAGAGGGAGGCTTCCAAACAGCACCTGGCAAGCCAGAAACATCCAATCTGCAGAGATGCTGATCCACCGACTCCAGCTCTCACACAGCATCTGTTTTGGAAACTAAAAGGCTTTAGCCAAAAACCACCATGAATCGACTCTTGCCACTCACGGAGCTCAGCATTAAATTTACCCTGCTGTGGGCAAGGGAGTGAGCAGCAAGTTTGTCCCTTCCCTCTGTTACTCCTACTAGAAAATAATCCCGCACTTCAGTGTATTTCTGCCGAAGCTAGTTGCGAGCCAAGCTTGTAAAGAGGGACTCCCATCACTGGGATTTCTTTTCCATGAATAAACAAAGAGATGAGATCATTCAGAATGGCTATGTACCATATTAAAAGTATCCCTGTTATCTCAAGAGACGTGAGAAACGGAAGGACATCCCACCTCCCCTTCCCATATGGGCGAGGAAAAAAAGAGGTCAGAGGAACATTTGCTTTCCTTGGCATGCAAGACACAAGTAATTAAAACAACATATGGAGCGGAAAAAAAAAATAGCTGTCAAACCTGGCTGTTCAAACAGCATGGACTATCCAAAATTCCTGCATGGAGAGGCAATTGCACAGAAGTTGTCTCCTGAAGACTTCCAAAGTAGAAGCGCTTGGCTGAAAAGTGGGTGGCTGTTTATTAGCTTGGCTTCCAAGTCCCTCCCTTGGCTCTCCCTGCTGAATGAGGGATAAATCCAGCCTGAAAACCCCCTTCACAGGAGAGGCTGGGAGGAAGAGACTATAAGCAGACTCTTCTGCAATCCTGTGGGGCTACCTCAGACTAAAAATAAACAACCTGACAACAGCAGCGTTTGAAAGCTGTTGCTTGCAGTATCAAATCCAAAATTAGTGTGGCTCAGGTTTCTGTCTCCCTCCAGACAGATGGCAAGTCAGGAAAATCCTGACAAAACAGGGCAAGTCCTAGGTGCCACAAACAGGTGTCTCCAAATCTGTCTGGATTTATCCTTATATTTACTCCTATATGTCCAGAGACCAGCTGCTTGGTGCAGTACCTATTTAATGCCAGTATTTCCTTCTGGTAGCTAGCATAAATTCTGTTAACTCTGTTATGAGGGAATTCAAATCTCTCTTTCTGTGCAATCTCTAGGAAGATTCCCTAAAAGAAGATGCTTTCAAAATATTTTTGACCTTTTTCACATAAATCAATCCTGATGCCAACATATTCTCACTGCAGTGAAGGCGACTTAAGATGTAGGTTAATTATGAAGAATATCAGAAGTGAGCAACATGTAGAAATTTATTCTTTTATTTCCACTTAAAAACAGGTTTCAATTCATATAACATCAACCTCCTATATGATTTTTAGAGATTTTTTTCTGGTTTTAGCCTTGGCACAAAACATTGGCATTCATTTTTGTAAGAAACATGATTTTATTGGAAAAGTAGTTTTGAGGAGGTTACTTTGCCCTGTATTAACCTAGTGAATTCTGATTCATGCACTGGAAATAAAAGGCACAAAATACAGAGCCTCTCCACGAAACAGATTTCCACTGTAGAGAAAAGAAATTAACCTTGAAATCGGATTAACTGAGATTTCACTATGGTTTTATAGAGCAGGAATGGTTTTGTTCCAAGTAAATTTAATTCAAATCCTGAAAGTTGAAATCACACTGTATTACACGAGCATTACTTGCTCCCAGTTAATTACAGATTCTCTTTGGAGCCATGACCCTGAAAGAGGCAATTCCAGCAACAGGACAGCCCTGCAGTACCGTTTTGGAGCACCTGAATCCCCTACTCAGTGCACCTCATGAAGACCAATTAAAAAGTAAAAATTAAGATTTTGTTATGGAAGCAAAATGCCTTTCTCGCTGAGACACCAGCTTTATACCTATGAATTTGTTCTGCTTTTGTGAGCGGTGTCTTCAGCAGGTGAGCTCACCTTCACCTTCACCTTCTGATGGCCACTTGCACAGAAATGTTTTCAGACTTGCCACACTACAGGTCATCCGACCCAGTATTGAGTTATCCAGGGAGCTCAGCCCAGCGGAAAACACCAGGGAAGAGTGAATTGTTTTTACCCTGTGGCAGAAGCTTTGCCTTGGAGGGCTGGAGGGGAGCAAACCAACATCTGTAGGGACAACGGGACGGTTGCGGGCGCTGCGTCCCAGCCCCTGCCTCTCTCTAACGTGCACAGATGGGTCTTCCCCACACACTGCCCTGCAAAGCTCCTATTCCTAATGATATGAAAACCTTCAAAGAAGGCCAGTTGAGGCAGCTGTGAGATACCACAAGCAACGACAGTTTGTGTGTTTGGTTCCTGCCACTGCACAGCAGCAGCTCCCCAGATGTCTTGGGAAACAGTTCATGTCCTTTGAACTAAGCGGGAAAGAGGGACTGAACCTGAATCCATTTTCACAGCCTGGAGGAAAAAAAAAACCCTTCCTGCTCCCAACTCACTAGTCTGAACGTTGAATTCAATGCTGTGATAGAGCATATCAGTCCATAAACTACCTGAAATAAACTGCAATGCCTGACAGAAACCATAATGGAAGATAAACCCACCCCAGGGCCCGGCCAGGCGTGGGGTATGGCATCCTCTGATATTTCCTATGAAAGCAGAAATCCTTGTTTCTCTTCTGAAATCAAATCGTACATTGCAAGAGGCTGGGGGGGCTGTACAGGGAAGCAGCAGGAGCCCCAGATATGAAACGTGACTCTGGAACGAGTGAGGAGCAGCCTGCTCCTCTCTGACACCACCTGCTCCTCCTCCCGGGCCTGCTTAAACAGAAGCCTCTGAGCTCAAAGTACAGACTTAGACTCTGAATATGACAAGCATGAGTCTGGGAAGGTACAGGGTATCCTAACAGGTTATCCAAAACTGGGAAACAGCAGCGTTCTCCGGAGAGGGAACGGGACTAAGAAGAATTGGTGGAGCATCTATTTTGCTTTGCAAGATCAAGAGCTAGTTGCAGCCCTGCACTGGAGGTTAGACACCATACAAGCAAATATCTATGTCTGCTTAATACTTTACAGCCTGGATGGGAAGGATATGAAACAGCAGCTCAAATCCCAAATGTCTGTCAAATCACTGCAGACTCTATGTGCTCTTGGTGTTCTGCAGCCAGAACCAGATTTATATATATATCCAGATTTGGGCTTATTAGAGAACAGTCTTCAAAAGCACAAGGAAAAACTATATTTGAACAATCTGTAGCCAATCTGTAGCATTTTTCCTTTTTTTTTTAATCTGTGTTTGGTCTGCTCTTGAGAAATAGTTAAAGAGTCGACAGGAGACAGGCAACACTTAGGAGCATCTGTGCGATTTGACAAAGATTACAGTGGGACCCTAAGAATTTTTCCAAGTTTCTGGAAAGTTTTTTTTTTTACCTCTAATTTTCTATTCTGTGCAGAAATAAATGAGGGAAGAGGAAATCATGACACTTGTAAGCCTCTTTGGAAAGAAAAAACAGCCCAGCAACTGTAGAGGCTGTATTACAGTCACGAACCACATGAAATCTAAGCTTTTTAAAAAAATATTTGAGCTAATCACTCAGACTGCCTGATCTTCAGTATTTCATGGTTATCAATGAACCTTTTCAATTTACATTCTTAAATAATTACTGTGTAAATGAAGTATGCTCTAAGTATGGTACTTACATTTAATTACAGATGATGTGGATATGTTTACAGGTGCAGAATACATTAAAATTACTTACAGGAAATAAGCCCAACTAGCACTAAACTCTGGAAACTAAATGTTCACAACAGCACTGACAGTAGCTTAGCTATTTATTTGAACATGCTTTTTAAAAGGTACGTTGGAACACAGTAGAAAAGAAATTCAAAGAAATGCTAAAAAGAGGGAAGCACAGCGATCAAAATTCCATAGCAGGTTGAATCAATAAAATCTTAAACTGCAGTTCTTAAATGTAAGTACTACACCAAGTAGTAGTCTGGTTGGTCTTTAATGGTGTTAAAGCCCTTGTTGTCTAGAAGAGACCGTAATAACACTTTGCCTATTCAATCCAATCAAGGTTTAGGCACCTTGCTACAAATGCAAACATATCTGACACCTCTTCTATAACTTTAGCAGTGGGCTTTCCTGCTCCGTGCCCAGCCTTGGTGTCGACGTGGATGAGAAGCGGGTTGGTCTGCTTACGGCTGCGGCCCACAACGTACTGCAGAGTAGCAATAAACTTCAGGGAATGCAGAGGGACCACGCGGTCATCGTGGTCCGCTGTGAGCAGCAGTGTGGAGGGATACTGGATGCCATCTTCCTCTGGCAGCTTGATATTGTGAAGTGGAGAGTACCTGAGAAGGACACACAGAAATTCACTTATTTCTTTCCCGCCCCGGTCCAGCCACAAGGTCATCTCATACTGAAATCATTGCGGTGGCATTTGGTAGCACTAAGAACATCACAATTTGCAGTTGCAGAAATCAGTTTTGCACCGCTGGCTGCCAATGCCTGACAGTGTCTACAGTCCCCTGGCTGTCAAACGTGATACAAGCCCATTGCCTTAATTTTGGGCAGGCATATGCAGACATAGACCAGATAGCCGTGCTAGCACCAGTGGACATCAGGGAAACCTAAAGGAGAAGCTGTGAAGTTCACAGCAGGATTTACCCTGTTGGTAACAGGGAAATCACTCATTTTCCCAGCACACATCCCTCATCTCTCGCTTCTACGGCTACTGCTTCTCTGCATAAAAATTTGGAAAGAGTCTCTGATAGTGAAGTGCCCCTCCAGTCAGGGTACCAGCCCCTCCAGTCTTCAGATCCCTTTTGAACACACATCTATTCTGTGGAGATACCATGTAGGAAAGAAACAGATTACTTATTATGTAATTATTACATAATTATTACTTATTAAACTTACTTATTATGCAAGTTTTCTTGCTTTCAGTGGATGACTTTGATTCATGAACAATGAAAGGCCTCTCTAGAATATTTGCTTTCCTTGTAGAAAAAACGTACATCCCTTCATTGCAGTAACATAACATAAAATATGTATCTATATTATCTCAAACTAAATAAATTTTGGCATTTGAAATGAACGGAATAGTAAGCTATAAAGAATTCTATCTAACAATTTCCTATTGCCTATTCCTCAGGTAAAGCAACACCCAGAAAGGCTTTTGCATGCCTTAAATCAAGAGTAGGACGTTATTTTTTCTTCCTACCTTACAACAGGAAATACAGAAAGTAACTTTGCCTCATCTTTTAATTCATTTCGTACTTGGAAGAGTGTCCATTAAGTAAGTCCAAATTATTTTTATTAACATGCGAAAATACTTGAATGTCTTGTCTAATAGCTCTCTAATCTCTCTATTTTCATCTAAAGAACAATACGAGTGAATTTGTAGAGCTATGATTTGTTTTGAAAACAGTTAAATAATGGTAAGTATGCAGCACTCTACTTTTAGGATCTTTGTAATGACAGCATCTAAGTATATAATATTTGCTACATTTGACAAGAAATTGCCAATTGTTGAAGAAGAAGCAAAGCAGCTTAAACAAGTTTCTCAATATTCAAAAAACTCAAAAATTCAGGTATTGACATAAAAGTTTTTGAGACTTTGTGAGACCTACAGTATGCAAGTGCAGAAGTAGGTATAAAGCGACTCCCTTCGACAGGATGTTTCTTCTACTCATAGAATGAATTTAAAGCTTTACTTCTGTTTCACCTCTTCAGAATATCTAAATTTGCACATGGGCAGGAAAGATTCACTGCCAAAATCATCAAGATCATTGGTATCAGTTAATCTATTCTTTTTCTTTTTTTGGAAGTCATTAACAAAGAATGAAATATAAAATTTATAGTTAAATTTATTTACAAAAATGGGATTTCCACTGAAAGTTTAAATTGGACAAATAGGGGTTTAGAAACAACTTAATGGCAATGGGCCTATCTGATCATCTAGTAATTGCATTTGACATTGTTTTTTTAAAAATAAATGCTTTAAATATGTTTGGTCTCACTGTACTTGTGGCACATCTATACTTTAGTATCTAAATACTCTACTGTATTTTAAACCAGCTATATTGTTTAGTATGTTTGAGGCATTCTCCTGTAATATCAATCTTCATTATTTAAAGAACAAAAATAGTTTTAACTAAAGCAGTAATAGGAGATCAGGTGCCATTTTTTTTTTTTTTAAACGATGGCACTTATTCTAAACACACTCATTATTAGTCTTATCCAATATGTTGTCCATTTCTGTTCTCACACAGCTCTTTTTCTCTCTTTCTTTTTTTGTCTTTCTTTTTTTAAAGAGTATTTCCAGGCCTCTCAGCAAGAAGTTAAGAACTGAATTAGGAATTAGTATTCTGTTGTGGTCTGCTCCCATTCAATTCACAAAAATAAATCCCATCCACATTGTGTAATTCACAGGGGTGATCATCTCTCCCCCACTGTAAAAAACACAATCTGTGTAGTGGTTCTCTGCAGAGTATTCAGCTTTGACAGCCTCTAAAAAAAAGGGAGTCGTAATTCAGAAAAGAAAATCTCACAAGTTTAAAAGCTGTTAGTAGAAAACAGTCTCTGAAAACACGACTAGCTGGCTGGGGAAGTTTGAAGATGCTGTTTTGTGCAAAGCTGACTTGTAGGGAAACTGTGAACCCCCCAAAAGCGGTGTGAGAAAGGATGAAGCAATTCTCGGACTCGCTCTTGATTAGGACGACCCAAAACCACGGCGCAGGCTCTGCGCTTCGGCAGGCAGGGCAGCTCGGACAGGGGGCACCTACCTGAAGAGCCATTCGAACTGCTCCTTGCAGTCGGCGCAGCCGTAGTCGGTGGTCCACGCGTGGCCGATGGTGTACTTGTGGAACTTGAGCATGTCCAGCACGCCCACCTGGGCGATGGCGCAGCCAAACAGCTCCGGCCGCTGGTTGGCGCAGGCGGCTGCAACGGGAAGCGACTCCGTTAGCGCCACGGGAGGGAGGGAGGAAGGGAGGGAGGAAGGAGGGAAGGAAGGAAGGAAGGGAGGGAGGAAGGA